GGAGCGGAGAAGAAAGGGTACTTAATTACTGTTTTTGTCCCAACAAACTTATAGGTGAATTGGTAAGAGTGAAGATATTTGAATGTGATTAAATGGTGATAAAATGTTAAATGTGGCTCATGTCCTTGGCTTGATCATATACAGCAAAATATAAATTTGTAATTATACAGTTATTACTAAATCTATTATAGGTGCCCTTTCTTTTAATCTGTATATTAATAATTTACTCCATTTACTTGGTTTACTTTTTAACATACCATCTTTTAAACCTCCCACAATTAGAATCTTATAGCAGAAGATATTAATGTACTTTCCCACGTAGGTGGTTGAGAAGCTTTTCCTTTCGTTTTGTGTGAGGGACTCAGCATTCTGAACCTCTTACTTTGTTTTTTTTGATCAATCTTGCTACATTGGGGTAGAAGTAGAATTTCTCTGAGATACTAAAAATTGTTTGAGTTTACCTGTGATGTGGATAGGCTTATATTCAAAACCTTAATCATAGGGTTATAATTTTGAAATGAACAAGTACTTTGCCAGTCCAGCTGGGTATCAAAAAGGACAAATGTTTTTCAAAGAAAAAACAATAACTATTGCTAAACTTCAGCAGTAAAAGGCCTTTTCATGTGTCCTCACACTGTCCTTCTAGCTTCCTCCTCATTTCTAAATTGTTGTTAAATACCGTCAAGTTGAAACCGAATCATCGCTGACTCTCCAGCAGATTTTGAGAGGCTCTTAAGTGCACAGGATGAAACTGCCCTGTTTTCTTCCTCAGAGCAGCGGTGGATTCAAACTGTGTTCCTTTGGGTTAGCAGCACAAATCCTTAGTAGGCCACCAGAGCTCCCCATGAGACATTATCTATTAAGGTCAAACGTGATGTTTGGAGTCCCCGGGTGGTATAAATGACCGTTGCACTCAGCAGCACGCAGGAAAGTTGTTGGTTGCACTCAGCAGTGCCTCAGGAAGGGCCTGATGGTGCACTGCCAGAACCTCAGCCATTGGAAAACCCTGTGGAGCACAGAGCTGTTCAGACACTCGTGGATCACGGAGCAGGAGTCCCCTTGAGAGCAGCTGCTTTAAAGCTTGTGGGTATGGATGTTTGCAAGCTGGGTTTTTTTAACCATTCCCCTTTTTTTAGGTCCTTTGAGCACAGGAAAAGAGAGAGATGGCTTGATTTTTCCCTTGGCATGCTTTCAGTCTCGTTTCTTTGAATTGGTATTTGCATTAAAAATGAGGCCAGTAGAAGATTCAAGAAGCAGGACTCCATGAAGAAGTAGGACTCTGGCATCAGGATTGGAAAAAGACTCATCCCAAGATGCATCATCCATGCAGAAGACACAAATCTGCCGACTAAAAGTGAGGAGGACTTTAAGAAGTATGGATTACACTTTAACGTTAAAAAAGAAGACCAGAAAACTCATGCCATTTTATCCAAACTGACTCCTAGTTGAGCCTTCAGGGAGTTTTCAAAGGCTTTATATTGCAAGGTAAGACACTGTCCATCTTGGGCCTGCGGAGCAGCTGATGGACTTGTACAGCCAGTGACACCACCTTGGGGTTAACCATTCATCTCCCTATGGATTGGGTCGCCAGTGCCCCTACTTCAACATAAAATCCTCACAACTGAACCAACAGATGATACTGAAGATGGCGAGTGGAGAGACACAAGGAAACCTAACACGATGACAGATGCCAATACTGTGAGCCAACTAGTCAGAGGGCTGATTCTGGTGAAGAAAGGATGGCACCCCTCAGAGCTGAGGGTCTGTCCAGGAGGAATTCTTAATACCAAGCTGTTAGGGTGCCAGAGGCTTTGTTTGCCCAGGATGGTTAGTTGTTTGTACCTATTAGGATAAAATTATAAACACTTAAGATACTGTCACCCTAGATAAAAGTAATTTGTGTCCCAAAGGGAAAAATAATCCCTAAAATAGATCATTCTTCACTCAATCCAGCAGCAGGATAAAGGATGCATCAACTTTGCTGAGTCTTACTTGTAATGTTAAAAAAAAAAAATCAGGGTTTTGAGGTTTTCTTAAAGTATATGGAATATGCTGTTAAAAATGAATGGTACATATAGGTGGCCTAGGAAAAAATTATATAGGCCATTCTGTAAATTATTCAAATTAACCTAGAAACAACTCAAATACACTCAAAAATCTCCCAATAAAAGGATCCTCTGCAAAGTGGTTATGTAGGATATTTCATCTCAAAAGTTTATAGAAAGCAACTAGGGAAAGAGATTTGAAGGGGTAAAAGCTATTGCAGATCAGACGACTGTGTGGACAGTAAATGCAAAGGCAAGAGGGAATGAATTCTCTGAGATACCTACTCATTGGCATCGTTGATCTATATATAGGAAGATCCTTCAAAATATCTGCTCGGAACAAATATGAACAGAAGCCGTAAACTGGATTTCATCTTGCACAGGGATTTTCCTGTAGATCAACGATGCCAGTGAGTAGGTATCTCAAAGAATTCATTCCCTCTTGCCTTTGCATTTACTGTCCACACAGTCGTCTGATCTGCAATAGCTTTTACCCCTTCAAATATCTTTCCCTAGTTGCTTTCTGAATCGCAAGCGACTCGATGGCATATAACAACAGCAACAACAACAGTTGCTTTCTATAAACTTTTGAGATGAAATATCCTATATAACCACTTTGCAGAGGATCCTTTTATTGGGAGATTTTTGAGTATTTGAGTCGCTTCTAATTGACAGGCCTGGTGATATGCTTCTAATAAATTAACCACTGAGAACCCTGTAGTGCAAAGCTCTACTCCGACCTACGTGAGATTCCCGAGTCAGCACTAACTTGACAGCAACTGGGATTTCAGTCATATCCCATTGGTTGGAATTGTCACAAGGGCACCTCTAGTTGTAGGTTGGGTGAGCACACTGCTACCCAGAGGCAAATGGGATTGTGTGGATATGAAAGATGTGATGAGCTGATAGTGGGTGAGCATGCTAACATTATATTAGTTGCCATCAAGTGGACGCCTGCTCATGCAGCCCAATATAAAGCTGAACAAATCATTACCTGATTGATTGGTTTTGTCCAGGGACCCTGGGTGTTGTTGCAATTAAAGCATTCAGTTGTTAACCAAAAGATGGACTGGATGAATCCACCAGTTAGTATGCAGAAGAAAAATGAGGCAGTCTCCTTCCAGAAATATTTAGAACCGTAAGATCTTTACAGGACAGTTCCACTATCCTACAAAGTTACTATAAGTCAGTCAACCTGATGGTGCAGAACTCTCCCACACAGTTTCTGAGGCTGTTATCTTTAGAAAGACAGACAACCACATTTTCTCTGGTCAAGAGATAAATATATTTGAATTATTTCACTTCTGGTTAGCAGCCAAAGTGCTTAACCACTGAGTCACCAAGACATCTAATTGTAATATACCTAAACCTAAACACACTTCCAACAGATCAATTCCAATTCCTGGTGAGGTCCTCCGTCAAGTTTCTGAGCATGTAAATCTTTATGGAGGAGACTGCTCCCATCCTTTTCCCATGGAGACAGTGGATTCAAACTGCCAACCTTTCTGTTAGCCATTCCAGCACATAACATACTACACCACCAGAGCTCCTTACAATACCACCAATGATCCACAAATGTACTAGAGAACTCATACATTTGACCTGCCAAGTATTATTAATGATGGTTTTTCAAAGTAATTCTTCGTTTTACAATAGCAATTATCTTTTCAGTGACATACTTAAGTGTATTTCACGACAGGCTAACTTCTACATATGAATCAAATGAAAAGCATTATACAGATTATTTGAAATTTCTCATGATCACCATAGGGTTTTCAATCTAAGATGCACCTGATCCAGGCCATGACCTTCTCAATTGCTTGCAGTGCATCTAAGAGCTGGACAATGACTAAGGATGACAGAAGAAGCATCGATGCCTTTGAGTTGTGATGTTGGAGAAGAGTATTGAACATACCATTGATTGCCAAGAGAATAGATCTGCCCTGGAGAGGGTGAAACCAGTTTGCTCATCAGAGGCAAGGATTTTGATGCTCCACCTGACATACTTTGGACATGTTGCCAGGATGGATCAGTCCTTGGAAAAGGACATAATGGTTGGAAGGGTGGAGGGTCAGTGTAGAAGAGGAAGATCCTGGATGCGATGAATTGACACTGTGACTGTGCCAATGGGGTCAGTTGTGCCAGGGACGGTAAGAATGGCTCAGGACAGAGCAAGGTTCAGAGCTATTGTTCATAGGATCACTGTGGGTTGTGACCAACTTGATGGTCCAAAACAACAACAACAACAACAATAACAACAACATGATCATCAAATATTGTCTTTTCTTAAATGGCCTTTTTATTGCTATGGATTATAGCTAACTCATTGTAACTTAAAACAACAAAAGATTAACGACTATTTTATAACAAAACATTGCATTTTACTCTATATTTTAAACTTTGAGCTTTTATTTCTTCTCTATAGTGTAACAAAAGCTCATAATCTTATCTATAATCCCCCAAATATCTTAAAATAGAAAACTTAAAATAATGAATTTGAATCAAACTCTGACTCAAATTAACATAAGGCCATT